CTGAGAGTGGGCGGGGTCTCTGTGAGGACGTGGCCGGGCGGGGGGGGGGGGGGGGGGTATGACCTGGGCGGGGCGCGGCTGAGGCAGGGCGGTGCCTTGTGAGGGCGTGGCCGGAAGGTGGGCGGGGGCGTGGCCGGGCGAGGGAGAGGATGGGGGCGGGGTCTTGGCCGGGGCGAGGCCAGGGAGGGCTCGGTGGGCGTGGTCTTTCGGGGGCGGGGCGCCGTCGGGCGGAGCCGGAGGGGGCGGAGTGGGCGTGGTCTCGTGGCCGTTGGGGTGGAGGCGGGGTCGCGGGGGGGTGGGGCCGCCCTCACTCACCGTAGCGCCGGCCGGCCCTCCAGGCGCGCACGGCGCAGTGCAGGACGCCGTCCATCCACACCAGGAACCAGCTGATGCAGAAGCCGAGCAGCAGCCCCAGCATGAGGTCGATCTCCTGCTTGGTGACGTTGTCTGTCACGAAGTAGTTCTCGGAGGCGTCCACCACCGACTGGTCCCCGTCGTAAGGGATTACGTAGTGGATGTGGTGCCTGGGGGCGGCAGGGCGGGCTGGCACCTCTCCCGCGGGGCGGGCAGCGACCCCGGCGGTAAGCGGCACCCATTCGCCCCGCTGGTCTTAGAAGCAGCCCTTGTGCGGAGCTGAGGTCAGGAGGGGGCCAGCGGACTCGCCCAGGGCCCAGTCACCCGGCCGGAGGTTGCCCAGAGGGTGGAAGTGTGCGAGGCCAGGGGTCAGAGGGAAGCCCCGCGCCTGGCCGGGGATGTGCCTGCCCCTCGTATCACCCTCCTTCCTCCTGCCCCGGGGCTCAGCGGCAACCCTGCGGGGGTCGCGGGAACACAGCGCAGGTGAACAAGCTGTTCCAGTGCGAAGGCCCCGGTCACGGTGTCCCCATCTGGTGGCAGGGTCACAGCCCACTTGCCGGATGCGGGGGCCTGCTGGTTCCTAGGGGTCCATTCTTTTGTCCTCCCCTCCCACTCGCTATGTCCTTTCATTACCTTCTCTGCGGAGAGCCTAGTGGGTCAGCCCTGCTCTGGGCCTCTGGTCTTCCTTCCCCACCCTTTGCGGGCACCTCCCTTTCCTCAGTTCTCTGTGCCGGAGGGGAGGCTCCCGAGGCTCTGCCGGGTGTCCATCTCCCACCCCCTTTCCTGGGGGAGCTCTCCTGTCCCCTCGGAGCCGCACGTCTATGCCCTGCTCGGCTGCTCCTGGGATGTTCCAGCTGTCCGGGGCTCCCTCCCACGTGTTCCATCGTCTACCAAGGTCTGTGCGGTGTTTCTCAGCCCCCCTTCCCTCAACTGGCCAGGCCCCGGGCCGCTGAGCCCTCTGAACTGCAGCCCTGCTTACCTCTGCGGAACTCTGAACTCTCCCCACAAGGCTCTCTCCAGCCTCGGGCCTGTCTGGATTCCCTCCTCCTCCAAGAAGCCCTCGGGGCTCCCAAGGTCCTGGGTCAGGCAGCTCTATCCTGGAGATAAGCACCCAGGACGACCCAGGCCCGTCCCCACTCCCACCTCTGCTTCAGCCTGCAGGAGAGCCCAGGAGAGGGACCGTGGGCCCCCCCCCCCCCCCTTGGCCCCTGTCATCCTCACCGGCTGCAGCCCTCTCTCTTGCCTGGCAGTGCAGGGACCACTCTGGGGCCCTTCTGCCCAGGAGGCCACCTCTCCCGGTGGCCCTCCTCCTCGAGGCCCTCTGCTGGTCTCCAACTCTCCAGCCCCACCCCCCTGAAGTCCCCGCTGCCCCCCACGTCTGTTCTGAGCTCTAGCTGCCTGTGTGGCGTCTCCACGTGGGATCTACAGACACCTCAAACTCACACCTAAAAATAGCTCCTCCCTCCCCAAACCCCTCCCCATCCTCCCCTCAGTTACTGGCACCTCCGCCCGGTGTTCAGCCAACACAGGTCCCTGTTCCCCACCCCAACCTCTTGACTGGCCATATTCGCTGCCCCCCAGAGGGACCGTCTCGAAACCAGAAACCGCACGGCTCTTCCCTGATCACAGGCCCCTGCTGCTCCTTCCCTGCTGATGTCCCTGCACCAGCGGCGGCCACACAGCGCCTTCCTCCCGGCAGCAGCCCAGCAGGGATGGCGGTGGGCAGGCCTCTGCTCACACCCCTTCCTGCTCCTCCTCGGAACTCCCGGAGGCCATCCCGCTCCGCAGGTCCCGAGTGGTCCCAGTGGTGGGGCCTCGGCCACAGCCCCACGGAGCAGCAGGGGCCACCAGCCCGGAGTCAGTCAGCAAGGACGGCCCTGCTCCTCTGTTGACAGTTTGTCAGGAGCCACCATGAGTCACCAATAAGTGGCGGAAGACTGTTAATCACCACCCGGAATGTGCAGCCGCTGCCGGTTGCCCAGGAGCAGATTCATGACCCTTTCGAGGTGCCCATCACTTGGGACGCACCGGGCCGGGCAGGCTGCACCGGGGCTGTTAACAGGGAGCGGCGCGGTCGCCTTCTGCTCTACCCAGCCTTCTGGGCCTAAGACCCCCGGCAGGGCCTTCCCCGGCATGCTGCCTCGGGCCCCTGGACACGCAGCCGGCCAAGGCGGGGAGCTTGAAGACCAAGCTGCCACGGAAGCCAGAGACGCCCCCGGTGCCCTGGAGCAGGGTGAGGCCAGGGCCCCAACCAGCCCTGGTGGCTTGGGACCTCCAGGGGGTCAGAGGTCACAACCTGTGCCCCCAGCCCTGGCCTGGCCTCTGCGGTTCCTCCCTGCCCCTTACCCTCCTCCTTCCTCCAAGTCAGGCCCCTGGGGACAGGGGCTCGGGTCTCCCGTGTGCCCACGTGTTTTCACGATGTGTACACACATGGGTCTTGTCTGGGCCACGCATGCTGCCTGTGTCTGCCTGCGGTCCGATGCATGTTGTGTATACACGCCGGCCACATGCACAGGACGTGGCGTGTATACGGGGGTTCAGGCCACGAGCTCCGCTGTGCATGTGCATGCTTGCCTGGGCACGAGCACGGTGCGTATCACATGGACGTGCGCATGCACTCAGTTTTGCACACAGCCATCCTCTGTGGGTGTGCGGCCTGCTCACTGCACACGGGGAGTCCGCCGTGGCGGCTCGTGTGCGCGGTTTACACACGGATCCCTCGCGTGCAAAACTGTTCTCTGCAGACACGTTCGCCGCGCCCACACGGAGCACCCGCTTTGCCGCACCGTATGTATGATCCGCACGTGCTGCGCGTCCACATACATGGCGTCCACACGTACCACGCCATACACTGAATTTACATATCCCGTATGAGGTGATGTGTACACAGCACACACGTGGACATGCGCACCCGGAAACTGCGGCGGGTGTGACTCTCCATGTCTTCTGCACCCACAGACACGCTGACCTGCACACACGGGACCAGGAGCTCCAGCCGCACCTCCGTGGGCACTCGCTTTACCTGAGTCCGGACGCTACGTGTGATGCGCACACACACCCTGGGCAGATACGCTCGGAAAGCAAAGCCCGTCTGCCCAGACGGGCCCTCGGCGGGAGGTCACAGGAACTTACACGCTGGTCATAACACAATAGCCCACACACACGTAAAATGTGCATTCCTGACGTTTATGGAGCTCGGAGCCCGGGCCTCACGGGGCGGGGCGCACACTGCCAGCCACCGGGAGGGTCTCAAGACCGCCCCGGTTCATACCCGCTCGTGGCCGTGGCTGTCTTAGGAGGCGGCGGGGCTGACCTTGTGCCTTTCCTTAGCCTGGGGCCGCGTGCACCGGGAAGGAACACAGGGATCTCTGGGAAAGAGTAGCCACCCGCCCAGCAAACGCTTCTGACGGTTCTTGGCCAGCACACGTGAGGGTCATTTACACGCCCCTCTCTACCTTCCTGGACGTCTGTGTTCTGCTTTCCACACACTGGTCTGCACCCACGGGCACGTGGCATGCTTAGCGAGGCATGAAACTATCCTCTCTTACACAACCCCCCACACCCACTGTGTGCGCACACATGTCCGTGGAGCAGAAGTACAGGACAAGGGTGAGGAACACAGCGTCTGGGCCCACGCCCCTCGTCCCTTACTAGCTGTGTGACCTTGGGCGAGTCTCTACCCACCCGAGCATCTCTCTGCTTTTTTTGGCCCCGGCAAGAGGGCTTCCTGTGGGGATGGCGTGCATGCGAATGTGTACGTGTGCTATGTGTACGCACATGTATATGCACAGACAGTACACATATGCGCGTCTCATGAGAAGATGTTTATTTTGTACATGGACGTACAAACATGCATGGCCAGGAAGACTCCGTTACTACATGTGCACAGAATGGGGCGTTCCCACGGTGGGTGTGGGGGCCTGGGCTCTCCCATCCCTCTCTGAATGACCTTGAGCAAGCCACACCCCGCTCTCCCCCAGTCCCTCCTCTGTTTAAGGAGAGGGTGGGACCAGATGGTCTGCCCACCTTGACCTTCTGCACTTCCCCGTACCTGGCTCGCAGGAAAGTTCACGAACATGAGTGCAGGGCCCGGGGAGGATGGTGTACTCTGTGGGCACGGCCGTGCGCAGGATCCTTCCTGACACACAGGACTGGACTGTCGCCCTCCTGGCTTCCAGGCCCTGGACCCGGAGGCCCAGGGCCCATTCCGCTCATCGCCCTGGCACAGGCCCTTTCTCTAAAGGCATTTTGGGAGGGGGTCCTGACTACCCGGGCATGCTCCCCCTGCTGGAAAGCGATTGGCCAATCCCCAGGTGCCCAGCGAGGCTGGTTAGTCCTTCCCCCCGCGGGCCTAGCGCAGTCCTGCAGCCAGGCCCGCTTGGGGCTCGCCTGCGCCCCAGTGGGCCCTGCCGCCGCCGCCGCCGCCGCCGCCGCACATGTGTGATCACGCGTGTGCCCAACCGGGCGCGGACTCACCGGCCACAGTTGCAGTGGCAGACGCGGTCCTCGCCCCGCAGGTGCGGGAGGATGTAGTTGTGGAATCGGTCCAGCAGTGCGTTCATGTCCATCAAGCACGCGATGGCCTGGAAGAGCCCATGACCGGTCAGCGCCGAGGAGCGGGGCCTGGCCGGGGCCCCGGGGCGGGGGTTGGGGGACAGGGGTGCGGCGCGCTGAGGGTGGGGGAGCGCAGGCCAGGGGTAGGGGTGCCCGGGGGAGCCCCAGAATCGGGGAGCTCAGGGCAGTCGGGATGGGGAGCGCAGGCCGGGAAGCGGGAGCTCGGCGCAGCCCGGGATGGGGAGCGCAGGCCGGGGATGGGGAGCGCGGGGCAGCCCGGGAGGGGAGCGCAGGCCGCGCGGGCCGGTAAACAAGGCGCGGGAGGTGGGGGAGGCGGCGCGCGGGCGCGGGAGGCGGGCGCGGGCGCACGGGAAGCCCCTCCGCTCACCATCACGATCGACGCCCCCAGAATCATGAAGATCATGGTGTTCGCGCTCATGGACATCGGGCGGGGCCGGGCCGGGCCGGAGCGCCGCCCCCCGGCCCCGG